GGCCTTTCTCGCCTTCTCCTCTTCCTCTAGTCGTTTTAATTCCTCCTCCTGTCTCTTCTTCTCTTCCTCTGCCTCAGCAGCAAGTTGTGCAGCTGCTTCCCTCTGCCACTCTTCTTCCTCGCTCTCGTCTTCATCTTCGTCATCTTCGTCGCTATCCTCCTCCTCGTCTTCTACCTTTGCTTTCTTCGAAATAACTACCTCCTCCACGGGCATAGTCTCCTCAGCTTTTCTCTTAGCAGCCTTCGCCTCCTTCGCCTGTTCTACACGTTTCTCCTCCTCAGCCTTCGCACGAACCCGCCTCTCCTCGTCCTCCCTCTTCTCTAACGCTTCAACACCATCCCTGATTTCCTCAGGCACAACCCATACACTCTCTTTCCTCCCTTTATGCGTGTAGAAGATATTGCCCTCAGTCGTCTTGACGCGTAACCATTCCGTACCAGGAATGGGCGTCTTCACAAGTGGCTTCTCTTTCTTCTGCTGAGTCTGAGGTTGAGGCGGAGGGGGAGGAGGAACAGCTCCAGCTTGAAAAGCTGGAAAGTTGGGTAACGGTCGGATGTAAGTTGATTGCTGTGTCGGGGCGTTGTAGTAGTACGGCTGGCCGTTGGGTCCTGTGCAAGTTCCGCGTCAACTATAGTAGAATACTTGTTGAAGTTGTAGAAAAAGAGTTACCGAGATGTTCTGTCCAACCAGGTGGCAACGGAGGAGGAGGTAGTACTGAAAACGGTGTAGCCATTGTACTCGAGGCTACAACTCGAAATGTCTGTAGAGTCTGGACTCCAGTGCAGAGTGCGGTGACGAGACAAGCGCCTTCCAATGCCTTTGTGGCGTGAGAATCATTTCCTAATCAAACGTCGATATGCCGGCTCGCTGGGCTCTACACCACTCTCACTCTCAAGTCATGAGCCCTGCACGACCGTTAACACATCTCCCTCTCGTTTGACCTACAAGTTGGCTTGAATCAGAGCGACTATGCGGTACAACAACCCTCGCTACCAAAGATACAAAAAGGGGTCTCCATGCTTATTCAATAATGATTCGCGTCGCTAATTTCAGCTTCACAAGCCTCCCGGTTGTTTTCTTAATTCATAGTGAGTTTTCCACACGCATATATCCAAGTCATATCACCCTAGGTCAAGATATTCCACCAATCTCTACCTCGTAAACCGGCCTACAACTTCGTACTAATCCAGACCGGACCCGAATTGACCGGGTACATTCCCTTTATCGATGAATAAGATCCAGATGAAGTAATGCTGCGATGTGAGCAAGGTCGGTGGTGCGTGGGTTCCTGATTTCCTGTCCACTGCCGGATGATGCATGGGAATCGTACCTCTCAAATGCCACGAATGTCATTGGCCATGCTTTCGACTGTCTATCCCGTCCTCGCTAAACAGTAGCAACGTTTGTTCGATCATTCGTTCAAATTATAGACTAATCACACACCGCTCTGCATGGCTCATCCGCTCATCAATTGCCGTCTCTCACAGATTGTCACCATTCATGAAGCAACGCTGCACGCAGGACTCCTCGTAGTAAGCAATTTATAACGAAAATTTTAGTGGAAGACATTCTGATGCCAAGAGCAGGTGTGCCTGGGTCATTGGTGCGAGAGTGTGCCAACTGTATTCAGAGTATAACACGGTACCATAATCGGTCGTGGTACCTACAAGTGGGCGTCCCATATTACCGGGAATGCCAAGCAGCCGGTGCCTAAAACAAGCTTTGCCAGAAATAATTTTTGGTACGCTTGGCTTAAGTTTTCTAACGAGTTTCATGGTAACGGTCCCACATATCGCATTTCTGACTGAAGCTCACCTAATATCATTTCAGGCCGTAAACATTAATAGTGGGCCTTGTACCCTGGCAGAACGCCGTTGGACTATTGTATCAACTTCATCGCAGAGCTACCACAGTCAAAAGCCCACAAGTCAACCGTTCTCTTGGCACGATAAGAGATACCCATGGCTCCCAGATAGGGGTACCCTGGTATGTCAGGTTATGTGGGATTTCTTCCATCAGCTTCATTATATGGCGCTCATATTTTTGCCTAATATAGCAAACAACAACAGAGGATGGTAGCCACGACATTGCTGGCGGAGGATCTTTCCCACTACAACCGGCGGTACAAGCGACGCAGCATTGTTATGAAAATTTCCAATATGAATACCCCCACTCACGCGTCGTGGCATCGTTCAGGACTTTGAGAAACATCTCCACCTTCGACATTGGTTTCTCAACAAACAACCACGACAAAACCATTCCAGCCGCGTGGGTCTGAGGATGGCTTTGGGACCCCGAGGTCCGGTAATGCTCTCGAGCCGTTCCGTTCCATGGTAGTGGAAAGACAAACCTGCCCTCCGGATCCCTCAAATATACGCGTTCCTCTCATCTGGGGTGACAATCTTTCCGTTTATGGCTCGATAAGAGTCCTGAACACCCTCTTACCGTGAGTACCCATACTCACACCGAAATCCCGTTCGTGAGATTAGGCTGACAGACTATTTCGAGGCTTCCTCCAATGAAACCGGTGATGAATCCATTATGGTAAGTCGCTACTCACCGTCAGGTAGTTGCATTTTAAGCGATTTTGGGATCAATATGTCTCTATCATCATATCGTCGAGGTATAAAAGTCTGGAAAAGAGACGGTTGGAGCCTCAGTGCTCTACAGTACTACTCCTCAGCTCACCGGCTCTCGACTTCTCTTGAACAGTTCTCATCGAAATGGCCTTCAAAGTTGTCCTCGCTCTTGTTACCCTCGTCACTGCTGCTCTTGCGGCCCCGTCCAAGAGGGTGACCTGCAGCCCCGGCCGTGTCGTCAGCAATGCCGCCGTAAGCACTGTTTTCCTTTCTTCGTTGTTGTATGCAACCATTAAATAACTTGTCTGCAATAGTGCTGCAAGTGGTTCCCCATCCTCGATGACCTTCAAACGAACTTGTAGGTCCTGCCTTGACGTATCACGCTCCTCATCGCTCATAATTAACCAAGGTTCGACGGCGGCCAGTGTGGAGAGGAAACTCACGAGGTAAGCAGCATGCTTCATAAATTTGTGATCGACTCTCATATCTTTCTGGTAGTCCCTTCGTGTAAGTAACTTACAACGTGAAAGTGGAAATTACATATTAACTTGTTCCTTCCGGCATAAAGCTTACATTCCACGACGCGTAAGTCTACTCTTTAGTATAGTACACTACTTGTACTCATTACGTTCTATAGTATCGGCTTCAGTCTTTCTGCCGAGCGCAGGGGCATCTTTGGGTAAGTCGCTTGGATTACATTCCTTCGTAATTACTAATAGCTAACTATCTGTAGCGGAGGAGGGGCTGATGGTTCTATCATGGCGTTTGCCGAGATAGAGACCAACTTCCGTGAGTGAGAATCAAACATTCATGTTAACTGCTTGATTGAACTTTGCCTTCCAGACGCAAACAACGGTGTTGATGGCATCGTTGAAGTTGTAAGTGTACTCTTATCTCGGTTTTTTGTGAATATTGTACTGATTCTTCGATATAGCAACGCCCCTTCGCCTTGAAGCACCAGGTCTCCTTCGGAGACTTCATCCAATTCGCCGGTGCCGTTGGTGTCTCCAACTGCCTCGGTGGACCTCGTCTGCAATTCATGGCTGGTCGCTCTAACATCTCTCGCCCCGCTCCTGACCTCACGGTCCCGGAGCCCTCTGACTCCGTTGACAAGATTTTGGAGCGCATGGGCGACGCTGGCTTCTCCCCCTCTGAGATCGTCGATCTCCTCATTTCTCACACTGTTGCGGCTCAGGACCATGTTGACCCAACCATCCCTGTAAGCGGGGGAAATTCTTCGAACGTCAAATCGAGCAGTACTTACTTTTGTATGGTTTACAGGGAACTCCATTCGACTCGACTCCCGCGGAGTTCGACCCTCAATTCTTTGTTGAAGTGAGACTCTCGCGTACGATATTGAAATATCATTGTTCAAACTTTCTTTCTGTAGACTCTCCTGCAAGGTACACTCTTCCCAGGTAACGGCTCCAACGTTGGTGAATTGGAGTCTCCCCTCGCCGGTGAAATCCGCCTTCAGTCAGACGCCCTCCTCGCTCGCGACCCCAGGACAGCCTGTGAATGGCAGTCTTTCGTTTGTACGGCTTAATTCCCCTATAATCTCTATCAACGCCATTCACTAATATACATCCCCCTCTTCCAGCCAACCAGGCACTTATGGTCAAGAAGTTCGAGGCTGCCATGGCCAAGCTCTCTGTCCTCGGCCAAAAGACCCACGAGCTCATCGACTGCTCCGAAGTCATTCCCGTCCCACCTCTTGCCAAGTCCAATGTTGCCGTCCTCCCTGCTGGCAAGAGTCTCGCTGATGTTCAGGCCGCCTGTGCCGCCACTCCGTTCCCCACTCTCCAGACCGCTCCTGGCCCAGCCACCACCGTTGCTCGCGTGTAAGTCCCGTCTCCAATCTCGAAAGTGCTTGACTGATGGATGTGTATATGAATAGCCCCCCGTCTTAAACTCTCATCTCTTCATAAAGAGGGTCTACGGGCTTTGGTTTAGTCTCGGTTAGAAACGGTTATCGCGTAAGAATCATTGAAAATCATTAAAACGTTATTTGGCTTTGATTATCTATGATGTATTTCTGTAGATGTTTCATGGATCGTAGTACTAGTTGATGTCTTAAAAGAGACAGAACGTGTACCTTTTGTGTTCAATGTTATATTCCCACTGGGGTGGGTGTTGTCGTAGAACATCATGGTGTCTGCTTCCTTATCCACTGTCTTCATATCGTGAAAGTGGGAACCTGTGGTAGAATGAGCAAGTGCAGGAGCTACTGTATATACCACCAACCTGAAGCACTCCTAGCTGGAAGTCATATCGATCATGACGTTGGTTTGAACGGCAGAGCTCAGTAAGCTCATGCAGTGGCAGGCAGTAAGCTATGTCCATTCTTAATTTAATCTGAAAACGAAGAGGGCAACGTCTGCTTTATAAATGCGAAAAAAAAAGGAAACGCGCTTGCAAAAAGGGGCCAACTGGGGATTGAACCCAGGACCTCCTGCACATGTTCGTTAAACGCCCAAAGCAGGAATCATACCTCTAGACCATTGACCCTTGCAAAGAAGCTTATAATATATAATTATCAAGACCTCCAAACAACCGCTAACTACACAAAACTACTATGTAGTTCAATCAGGCTTGTCTAAACCTTTTCAACGAAGTCATCAGCGACACCTGCTTCTTCCGCCAGTATTCGCATTTTCAAAAAACTAGTTACAATGTAATACCGTCGAACAGATACTTAACCAAAGCAAAATCAATCGGACCACCGGGCCACAGGAAGCCTACGGACATGTAAACCTGCAGTCCGTGGTATCCGACTCTTTTACACATCTGCAAACAGCCCCTGTCTAAAGCGTCGAGATACAAATCCGGTACCGTTTAGGCGAGACGTGCCGCAAGGACCCTGTACCAATGTATCAATGAAGAGCCCGAGTCAAGTCTCCACGTTGTTAGATTCTACTCTTTGCGATAGATACGAGGTCTTGGCAAGTGAGATTTTTACAAAGCTTCTGCGTACCATTGGTGGGCCTGAAAAGCGAAAAGCGAAAGATCGCAGAAATTTGACTTGTGTGGGATTGTCGGAACGGAAGAAGTGGGCCTAGCGGATTGGTTACCCGGTAGGTGAGAGGCGTGAGGTGGCGCGGGGTCGGGCGCAACGAGCTTGAATTCTTAGCACTCAATTTTCAGCTGTCAAGGCTGAAGTTTCGAAGCCATAAAGGCGGACATAGAACTTCCTACAAAACTTACGCTACCTCAGCCACGGGACGTTACGAACACGAAAGGGTAACACAACGTACCTGATCGTTATACGTTCCATTCCGCACTGAACAGACAGAATTTGATGATCTTCTAGGGTGAACCCCTCCCTCCCTAAGCCGGTCACAAAGTAGGTGAGTCGGCATTGAGCGAACCAACACACTCGCCAACTTCACCAACTCCGAAAGGCTAGCTAACGTTATCCGTCTGCCCGTGATCCTTGTACAATATCACCTTTCCGATTTACGTACGCTCTTTACCATCTTCTACCAAGGGTCTTCACACTCTTCACATTGTTCTATGGCATTCAGTTGAGTTTCGATCGTGTTTCCCCAGGATCGTCGGACTTCGCGCCGGTCGGGAGGGGGTTCCTAACATACGAGAAGCGCTCAGCAGAATCGCGGAAAAGTGTGTTTGTGCGTTGCGGAGTCACTTACGAATGTTTAGCTTTGAGAAGTAGATGATGTGACGGCCAATAACGAGCGCGTAATAAGACCCTCCCGTAGCAGCTAAGAGTAGAACATCAAACGTTGACGAGCGGCATTTACCAGGAGAGATACCGTTATTTTGCTTTAATGCGAGGATCAAAGTTTCCAAGGGCCAATTGTCTATAACAAATTGAGAATCCGTTCCCTGAAAGGACAAGAACCGCTACCAAGAGTCGTCTATACAGCTGTAGATGTGTCCGGTAGAATCCAAGATATGATCCCCAGTTGTAGATTTATGCTAGCCGTAAAGAGGGTCCAACGGTGAAGATGTTGAGCCCAACCACTCGTAAAAATAACCCCTAGGCGTAACAGAGAAGCGACTCCGAGTGACCTGCCAAGGGCTGAGGAATCCCCCATTCGACAAATCAGTTTCTGTGTGCGTACTATGAGTATACATGGTTCAAACGAAGTTTGTCCGGTACATACCGGCTACGATTTCCACCGTGAGCATCACCGCAATAGCGAGCCTTTTAATTTAAGTGCATCCTGGAACTTGCCAATAAGTACCAACTGTTCGATGCTACGCCGAATTGCAATTGATCATAGAACTTATATAATCCCCACTTGAAAGCGGAGTAAGTTTCTTCTGTTGAGAGATGCCCAAGATTTCGAAGATTTGAAGACGGGTGAGAGGGATCTCGGGGGAATTATCCGGATGTCGTTTCCCGTAGATTGCAAACCAGTGCTGCTATAGATATCTGAATTTGCGTATCAGTAGTGTCTTACGTCTCGTCGTCTCTACCAAAATTAAATGGACACCACGTACGTCAGGATGTCGCAACAGCCTTCCTCTCCCCACATTCGAAATTGCGTCCAACCTATCACTCACCTGGCACTAGTCAAATACTACCACTGCCCGTAGTAACCTCGTACGAAACGAGCACACACAGAACCCACCCCCACTGGGTACTTATACGATATTCGATAAACTGAAATGAAAAGCAACCACAATTGAACGTGAAAGCCCTTCGTAAGAGACTCCCACTCCACCATCACGCGTGTTGTGTTCATAGAAACGGACAAACCCAAACCGCAACTCGCCTCGAAGAGCGCCCCGTCGTTCGTAACAGACTTCATTCCGCAACTCCCGTCCTGAGAAAACCCCTCTGGTAGAGACAAAACTTCGAAACCTTCCCACGTGATATAAAAGTACCGCGGCACTGACCTGTAATCAAACTTATTCCTCTCGAGCTTCTTGTATTGCCTCTATGTAGCTTGCCTGTGACATGCAAAGTCAAAAAGAAGGCGAATTCAGTCAATACGTGAACGTTTGAACCCTCCCCACCTTGTGATCACCAGAGATAACGCTTACGGTTCAAGTTTTACGGTAGCATACAACAACAAGATTGTCGTGTGCCCAAACCCCCTGAGCAGCATGAATTCATATTCCGAGGACAAGATCCTTCTCCGCTGGGAGTCCCTGTCCTCGAGGCGTTTACGTACGTCCATGTAAAACTCCGTTCTGCTTCTGACCTTCGTTCCCATTGAGCGGATCATGAAAATTAAATTCAAGGAGGAAAACCGGATGTGCGTGGATGACCTGCGAGAACTGCAACGGGCAGTGGGAGAGTTGGGAGAGGGAGAGAGAATTGGGCGAGTGAGTGGGTATGGTGAGAACGGGGGTGGTTGTGATGGTGCAAGTGTGAGACTTGGAAATACGACGTGATGATTGGCCGTTTGCGTTTGACGAACCTGAGCTTTCGCAGGCACTGCTGCAACTGGATAGCAAGCAGAGAAAATCTGACAAAAAAAGTAAAATCGCTGAGACGATCAGGAAGAACGTGGGGAAGTAGACGATTGTACGTACCTACAACCCGAAGATAGAGCTTTCTCCCACTGACATAAAACCCTACGTTGAAAGGTTCCATCTCCCTGGATTGGGATGTTCGGCTGCGTCAGTACACTGCACGTGCAACTCAAGCCCAAATCGCAAACGCTCACCGTGCACTGTAAATCCGAGTAATCGTAAACATTCGAGTACGTAGCCCGGGCTGTAAACGATTCCGAGTCACTACTATACTCTAGCGGAAAGTTTCAAATACTCTTGTGATTACCTCTCCATACAAACCTCGGCGTTTCCTAAATTAGCAGGCCTATCAAAGGAAGAAGCCTCCGAGACACCTCGCCAGCATCGAGAGCCCGCCGATAATGCGAATCGGTTTATCACCTCCGAACCAACAGTCCAGTTCCGATTCTCGATTATCGCGTCTAGTAGTTGTGAGTCCAGCTCGTCAAGTCTTCAGCTCGACAGAGAGCCAGACCCGGCCAAGGGGAAAAGGGGGAGCTGAGTCAGGAAGCGAGGCGCGTTTTCAACTTTGTAGTCGAAAACAAGCCCTGATCATGTCCCCTCTCTCTCCGCGACTTCAAGCTTCGAGCAGTACCCCGGATGCGTCATAGTCCCAAAGGACTTAAAAATAGCCTTTTCCGCCTCGGTTCGAGTCTTGTTAGTTCGTAACTGGGAGATGATGCCAGTGAAAAGACGTCTCCACGTCATCACCGCCTGTTCTGCCGCCAGCGTGCGTAGAAGGGCCTTAAGCTCGGGAAAAGATAGACAGGCAGGTAGCGCGCCCAGAAATGATTCGGGGTCTAGACTCGTAGGTCTGCTAGGATAGAGCGTAATCAATGGGATGAGCGGACTTGCCATATATATATATAGAAGGGTACAAGTTCAAACTTACGAAGAAACGGCTAATACTTGCAAAGAGCTTGAAGTTTGAGCTAGTACTATTGGATGTAGTAGCTCAGTATAGAAGGACCGCAGATCAGTTACTTGGTACTTGGTACTCAGTGTTCGGTATTGTGAGATCAGCGAGGCACACGTGCAAAGAGACTGTATGACGATTTTCCCTTCGGAAATTGGGCAGTCTGTGAGCTTGCTGAGTCCGTGTAAAAAAAGCTAGAATTTGAAAACCCGTGTGGGGGAACCCCGGTGACGATAGATGATCTATTCCTGTGAGAAGAGAGAGCGAAGGAAAAGGAAAGAAAGAGCAACTCGAGCTCGAGCAACGCAACTTGCTTGGTACGTTAGGAGAAGCCACGGCGTACATTCGACTCTTTCTAGAATCTGATGCCACGATATTGCTAGACCTCGGGGATCCGTTGTTTATAATCAGCAGTAGAAGACGCGTTGTTGGTTTGACGTACATAGTACAGGTAGACTTAACCATACGTCGCGTGTCTCGAGCGGAGATCGCTTTATCTCGCTATCTTCTTCTTCTTTCTTCACTCTTGAGATCTGGGCTTCGGTATCCCCAGTCTTACGCGTGAGTGAAGTTGCTATATGGAGGAGAGCAGCGGAGGTCCCATTAACTTAGTGCTGTATCATGCTAGAGGTGGGTCGGATGCGCAGTGAGAGCGAGACGAGGACTTACACGGAAAGTAGGAGTCCTTTGGTTGGGAAACAACTCACATCGTGTGATGATCTGTCCCATCCATCAGTCCTTCAGGCGCAGCACGCAAGGAAAGACGGGGGGCATTGACATGGACAACGAGGCTTCTCGTAAGGTCACGCGAGAACGAAAGAGTACTGATTTGCAAGGGTGAATATCGAATATCGAATCTTGAGAATGCCACTGTCAAGCTTCGACCTTGCCTGAGGGACCTTTATTCTGAACAAACCATCTCGTGAGGGTGTCTATCATGATGGTCAAGAGGAGAGACAACCCTAAACATGGCACTGTGTGAGGATACACTATCAAAGCGCTTCTTGAACTTGAACGAAGAGCTCGTACATACCACATGATTATGTATACACCGCTCTCCATCCAGCGCTGCCAATGTGGCCTCGGACTACACACACACCACCTT